TCAAACCTGCTCCTCAGCCCTTCTACGACACTGTCCATTTCTGAAACCTTGCTGTTTATCTTTTGGATTTCTAATTGTTGTTTTTGTATGGTTTCTAGTTGTGAATTTATTTTAGCATTTTGTTCCCGTATTATTTTAATTCTTCCTTTTTTTTTTTGGTTTTTTCCATGAATTTGTGTTTTTCCTCATTTTTGTCTGCTTTTTGCTTCGACTCTTGGATAATTCTGAATATGAGAGATTTGAATTCCCTATCAGTTAGTTCCAGTGTCTTTTCTTCTACTGGAAAGTCATTTGGTGTTTTATTTTGGACACCTACTGGAACCATTCTGTCCTGTTTTCATATATGTTTTGATACTGTCTGTCTTTGGGGCATTCAGTAGTTATTTTCCTCGTTTATTGATTGTAGATTTGTTTCATCCTGCTTTTTTGTATTATTTGGTTATGTCTGAGCAGGTGGGATGTGTGTTCTTTATTGTTTGCTCATCTGTGGGCATGATACTTTTCACCTCCTTCTCCAATGGGCAGGGTCAGTCACTCAGGTATGGTACAGAAGGGCAGGTCCAGCTCAAGGATAGTCGCTGGGATGTATTGTTTGTGGCAAGCACTAGGCGTGACAGTGTAGTCTGGGAATTAGTGCAGGGCAGGTTCTGCAGGTTGTGCCTGTGCTGCTTGGGAGCATGATGTTCAGCGCATGGTGCAGGAAGGCAGGAAGGAGGGGGGAGGATTGTGATGTGTGGAGCTAAGATGGGTATGGGAAAGATGAGAGAGAGGAGAGAGTAAGAGGAGCCAAAAACATACAAACAAAAAAGAGTGCTAAGGGAGCTTGCTATTGGAACGGAGAGATGAGAGACTGAGAAATGGGGGAAAACAGTAATGAAAGAAATGAAAGGTAAATGCCACCAGTGATGTCCCTGTGTGTCTGCACAGAGTAAGGGAGTAGCTTCCAATTCCCGCGGCACTGCTCGGCTAGAAGGGGCTCCCAAGCTGAGAAAAGAAAAAGTAAACAAAGAAACAAACAAATCAAAGCAGAACAAATCAGAGCAAACAAACAAGAAGCCCCAGGGGTCCTACCAGGGTGGCGGCACTAGCCGGGAGGCAGTTTCAGTCAAGTGGTGTTTCACAGCCTTTCAGGAAGGAGTAAAGATGGCACACGGAGCCAGGTAGTTGAGAGAAAGGAGGGGGAGGTAGTGAGATGCAAGTAAGAAATCTAAAGAAGTGGAAAAAAGCAACAGCCACCAAAAAAAAAAAAAAAAAAAAAAACTGCAGCCAACAAATGGCACTTAGGGAGCTGGTCAATGCGGGTGGGTGGAATCCAAGCAACACCAGGGTGAAACCGGTGCTTCCCTGCTGAGACTGTGGCTGCGGGAAGCAGAGGAGGCTGAGTGGGGATGAAGAAGGGTAGGAGGTGGGAAAGCGTGTATCGCTGGTTACCAGTTGTTCTGTTTCCTGCTGGAAGTTCCGTGAAGCTGCTTTCTCGTACCCCCTGTTCGCTGATCTCCGATAGGAGACTAAGACGGCAGACCCGTGCTGTGGTAGCTGATAGGGGACCTTTGCATGTCTCTCTCCTCGCTTTCTCTTCTGGGTCAGCTTCTTGTTCCATTCGGCATTTGGCTGCGTTATCTCTTCATTTGATGCTTAGGGTTTCTGGATTCATGTGTGACACTGTCTGATTTCATTTTTCAGATCTTTCCTGTGGAGGGACAGCGTGGTGCTTCTGACTATAGCACCATGTTGCCCAGAAGTCTCCTTTATTATTTCTTGTAATTTTGGTTTAGTTTTTGCAAATTCCCTAAACTTCTGTTTATCTGGAAATGCCCTAATTTCGCCATCATATTTGAGAGACAGTTTTGCTGGATATATAATTCTTGGGTGGCAGTTTTTTTCCTTCAAGGCTTTATATATGTCATCCCGCTGCCTTCCTGCCTGCATGGTTTCTGCTGTGTAATCTGAGCTTATTCTTATTGACTCTCCTTTGCAGATGACTTTTTATTTATCCCAAGCTCCTCTTAAAATTCTTTGTCTTTGGTTTTGGCAAGTTTTGTTATGTCTTGGTTACTTTCTTTTGGGATCTACCTTATGTGGGGTTTGATGAGCATCTTCAATAGAAATCTTCTCATCTTCCATGGAATCAGGAAGTTTTCTGCCAACAAATCTTCAACAATTCTCCATTTTCTGTTATCCATCCCCCCCATCCCATCCTGATACTCCAATCACTCGGAGGTTATTCCTCAATAGAGGCCCACATAATTCTTAGGGTTTCTTCATTTTTAAAAAATTCTTTTATCTCATTTTTCCTTAAATAAGTTGTCAAGTGCTTTATCTTCAGCCTAATTCTGACTTCCATTGCCTGAATTCTGCTCCTATGACTTTCTATTGGGTTGTCTAATTCTGAAATTTTATTGCTAATCTTCTGGATTGCTGATTGCTGTCTCTCTGGATTCATGTAGCCTATTAAAATTTGTCATTATGCTCTTGAATAACCTTCTTAAGTTCCTCTATTGCTTTGTCTATGTGTTCCTTGGATTGTCCTGCATTTTGCATGATCTCCTTCCTGATCTCTGCATAGTTCTGTATATTAATCTTTTGTATTCGACCTCCAATAATTTCAAGAAATTTTCTTCCTCCAGCAAATTTCTTGGTTCTTTATTTTGGAAGCTTGCTGAAGCCATCATGGTCTGCCTTTTTGTGTGATTTGATATTGACTGTTGTCTCCGAGCCATCAACAAGTTGTTATATTTATGTTTGCTTACTGTGTCCTACCTTTTTGTTTTGATATGCCCAAATAGGCTGCTCATGTGAGCTAGATTATTGGTGCCTTTGAAGCCCTAATGTCCTATTACCAGGTAGTTAAGAGTTGTTACTAGGTATGTGAGCCCAAGAGTCTCCCCTAGGTGTTTAGGATGAAGGCTGTCCCTGTTCCCTAGAGCACATGGGTGGGTAGGTTCTGCAGTCACACTGTGAGCACCCAATGCTGTTGGCTGTAAGGACTAGGGGGCATAACTTATTCTTGGACCCATGTCGCAGGTGGCTAGGTGGTGTGGGTGGATCCACCAGTCCTCAGGCCCCTGATGTGGGTGAGGACATTGCTTAATGGGCAGAGCAGTGTCAAATGTCATGAACCTGCCACTTGTCCACAAAGCTGATACAGCTGAAGTTAGGCTTCAGGTATATACCCTGCTATACTGTGGTAATGAAGTTGAAATGGGCCCACATAGGCCTGTGCAGGGGTAAAAGGCATTCAAAGTCCATAGACCCCTTATGCCTGTGCCTAGGCAAAGGAGCTGTGCCTATCCTGAGTTCCTGGCTTAGCGGAGCCAGCAGATTATTTTTTCCTGTTAAGTTATCCCCTCGCCAAGGTCAGGAAAACGGCTCAGGGCGCAGGACAGGTCCTACTTCCGGCCTGGGGGACTCAGCAATTGCTGAAGTCTGCCCGGGACCCAGTGCTGAGTGGGGAAGGGCAGGTAAATGGGAGAGAGGTTCTTCTCAAAGGGGATGTTTTCTAATCCACGCAGTAGGTCAGACACAAGTGCTTATCTTTTGCTGACTGATCGCTGCTTTTTACTGGTTCTGGATGCCCGAGTAGACTCTCCGTCGCTCTGTCTTTCCTGATGCGGAAAACGCCTCCCGAGTGCTACGGCTTGCCTTACGGTGCACGCAAGCCAATCCAGCCTGAAGGGTGCCAGCTCCTGCCAGGTCAGGTCTGGCAACTCCTCGCTGCTTCCGAATCATCTCTCCCTCCCGTCACTCAGTCCAATTCCTCAACTTTGCCTTTGATGTTCAGGGCTCCTAGATTGTCATATATAATTGATTCACTTGTTTTTTCAGGTCTTTGTTGTAAGAGGGACCACAGGATGCGTCTGAATACTCCGCCATCTTGGCCCCACCTCCTCCTTGATATGTTTTGAATTGGCTTGTGTATGGTGTGAAGCCTGGATCCTGATTCATTCTTCTGCATGTGTAAATCCAATTTTCCCAGTATCATTTATTTTTCTCAGAAGTAGTTTGCCAGGTCCTTCTTCCTAATCTGTCTTAGTCTGGAAGTGCCACTGAAACCTGTCCACCATGGGTGACTCTGCTGGTATTTGAAATACCGGTGGCATAGCTTCCAGTATCATAGCATCATGCAAGCCACCACAGTATGACAAACTGACAGACAAGTGGTGGATTCACTGAAATTCTTTCCCTACTGAATGAACTTAGCTTCCTTGTTGAAAATAAGCTGACCACAGATATATACTGATTTATTACTAGACTTCCAATTCTATTCTATTTGTCTATATGTCTATTGTTATACCAGGACCAGGCTGTTTTAATTATTGTGGCTTTATAGTATGTTTTGAAATTCTGGAGTGTGAGTCCTCCTACTTTATTACCACAATTTGTTTATCAATTCATCTGTTGATGGGCATTTAGGTTGTTTCCACCTTTTATCTATTGTGAATAGGGCTGCAATGAACATCGGTGTACAAGCTCATTTTACACAATCTTCAAGATTGCTTTAGCTATTTGCCTTTCCATATAAATTTGAGGATTGGCTGTTCTATTTCTGCAAAGAAGGCTGTTGAAATTGTGATGGGGACTGCACTGCATTTATAGATTGCTTTGGGTAGTACTGACATCTTAACTATATTATGTGTTCCAATCCATGAACATGGGATGTTCTTCTATTTATTTAGATCTTTGATTTCTTTTAGTGATGTTTTATACTTTTCTGTGTACAAGTCTTTCACATTCTTGGTTGAATTTATTCCTAGGTACTTTAATCTTTTAGATGCTATTGGAAATGGTAATGTACCCTTTATTTACTTTTTAGCTTGCCCACTGCTGATGTATAGAAACCCAACTGATTTTTGCATGCTGACCTTGTACCTTGCCATTTTGTTGAATTCATGTATTAGTTCTAATAGCTTTTTTTGTGAATTCTTTGGAATTTTCTACATATAGAATAACATCATCTGTGGAACAGGATAGTTTTACTTCTTCCTTCCTGATTTGGATGCTTTTTTTTTTTTTTAACCCTAGCCTAACCGCTGTGGCTACGACTTTCAGAAAGACGTTGAATAGTAGTAGTGAGAGTGGGCATCCCTGTCTTGTTCCTGATCTGAACGGGAAAGCTCTCAGTCTTTCTCCATTGAGTATGTTAGCTGTGGATTTTCATAAATGTTCTTTATTATACTGAGGAATTTCCCTTCTATTCCTATCTTGTTGAGTGGTTTTATCACGAAAGGGTGCCGAGTTTTGTCAAATGCCTTTTCTGCGTAGACTGAGATGATCGTGTAGCTCTTCTACTTTGTTCTATTAATATGGTATATTGCACTGATTGATTTCCTAATGCTAAACTACCCTTGCTCCCTGGGATAAATCCCACTTGATCATGGTGTATAATCTTTTAAATGTTTTTTGTTTCAGTTTGGTAGTATTTTGTTGAGTATTTTCCTCATTTCTTTTTACCTAAGAAAATGGGTTGCCTCTGTCTATTTTTAAAATAGGAAAGAAATGAAAACTCATGGAAAGAGAACTACTGATATCATTCCAAATTAACTTCTATCTGTTGTTAATAATTACAAACACTTACAAATAATACAAGATAACCAATGCAGTAATAAAATAAATACACAAAAAAGCAAAGATAAATAAGAGGATGTTTGGGAGTATACCTGCAGGAAGAAAGGGAGAGGGGAAAGATTAGGGAGCGACCAAATACCTACTTGGACTCTGTGTTGCTGGGTACGAACACTGGATGAAGGGTATCTGGGCAGTCTGTAACTAGGCCAGCTCTAATAGCTGTATCTGACTCTGAAACTATAACAAGCTGTTAAAAAAAAAAAAAGGAAGGGGGGAGGTTAAGGCAAGAACGGCTGAGACTCTGAACCAAACAAATGTAGCTAAGCTGTTTTAGGCTGATGTGTGCGGTTGACAGATACTGGAGATTAACGGCTTCTCCCTGAGACTATAGTTTTTATTTGCCCCACTAATTTGATGCCCTGGAGAAAATACTTTGGAATTTTGTCTTTTTATCCATGCCTCTCTATCCTCAATTCAACTCCAGGTCCCAGAGAGAATGCATTTGGCCTAAAGTCTGTACCCGCCATCTGCCTTAGCTGATGTCTGATAAATGTGTAGAAGAACAAAATCTAGCCCCATAGCTGATGTCTGATAAATGTGTAAGAGAACAAAATCTAGCCCCAGGCAGCCCTCTCTTAGAGCCTGGGGGTGTGAACACGTTCTCACCTCCTCCTACTGCACTCACCACCAGTTACCCTCAGCCTCTCATGATCTGGCTCTACCAGACCAGCCATTCTACCCTGAGCCACCTTCCATCATCTATGTCACCCAACTCCCAATCACCCTCCTTTCCTACAGAAGACCTACCTACCACAATCTGGCTACCACTCCCACCGTTTCACCAAGGAACTCCTAATCGCCCAAATCAGCAGCCCAATTTCAGTTCTCAACCTCTGTGACTACGACACTTCAAGTCTGAGACCTCACTCACCTTCCTCACTCAAATGATCTTTCTCCAACGCCTCATCCCGCTCCTTTTTTGTGGTGTTTTGTAAAATAATCCTATGAGGTGGGTACTTTTCCCAGTTTGAGTATATGAAAGCAAGCTTCTGTGAGGTCAGGAGGTCCAAGGCCTTGTCCCCCATGATTCTGGCAGATAAGCCCAAGGAGGCTCCATTCTGTTCTTTGAAGTCACCGCCAATACACTTACCACCACCAGACAGCACTCTCTGAAGCAGAGAACTGGTCTTACACACACATCTCTGCACCTCATGTATATCACAGATCTTTTGTAAACTACTTTAAGAGAGGTTGCGGAGTCAGGAAGGAGAGAGTGGATGTTTGCTGGATACTGGCAACACAAGGTAAAGAGTAGCAGGTGGCCAAAAAATAGCATTGAGCTTGCTTTGGCTTAGGAAACTGGACTAGCAGGCGGAGGAAGGTGCAGCAGCCTAGAAAAGAATGGCTGGGAGGTTTCTAATGGCAACTTGACCATCAGTGCCCCAGTCTGGCCTTGCAAGAGTTTTCACACATTAAAACAGACCACGTCATTCCTCAGGCTGTTTTCTGCCTCAGTCCAAGGCCCTTTATGTGGAGGACTAAATACCTGTCTATGTCACGCAGCCTGCTGCCCTGGCTGTAGACCTGGTTCTTTCACAGGCTACCAAAGAGTGCTCACTCAGATCTGGGAACGAGCAGCTTCTCAGCCATCTTGCTGCTCTTCTCATCACCTACAATTCTGGGACAGTGCTGTTTCTCTGGCTTCATGGTACAAGGACTGAGCCCAAAGAAGCACTCACTTTGGAGGGCAGATCAATCTTGAAGTGGTTGAGTATCGACTCCATAAAAGGAGCAAACTAAGCCTGGAAGATATGGATGACTCCACGCACAGCTTATGTACCCTAAGTGTCACCTTCCTTCAGGGAGTCTCGAGGTCTCTTGCCTAGACGGCTGCTTACTGGTTAACACTTCTTGTGAAAACATGAGGATTTTATTTTAGGACGGGCCAGGGGTCAAAGGTATCACAGGCCGGTACACTGTGACACAAGGGAAGGTGTGCTGCATTCTGCAACATACCACCTGTGAGACTGTCAGCAAGTAACATGAACCTCAAATCCTAAGTGTGTAAAATGGGGATGATGCCACATGGCCCATAGGGTAGGCATGAGGATTAAATAAAATACTCCATGTAAAGCCCCTAGCTTATGTTTTTCCTTACTCAACAGCTATTACCACATATAGAAAACTGAGGTCAACATAATCAGTAGGCTGGGATAGGCCTTGCCTGAATCACACAAGGGCCCCGATTTCATAGTATTCTCACCCAATCTACACATTAAGAAAGAGAAACAAAAATCTTTTAAAAATAACCTCTGACTCACAACCCAGCGAGAATGTGATATGCTAGAAGGGAAAAATGTTATTAAAAATATGCAAACTTTCTTTATTAGTGGCTACCCGGGGTGGATGGGAGGGGGAAAGAGGGAATCACTGCTTAGGAAGCAAGCAGTGAGTATCTGTTTTTTGGGTGATGGGAAATTTGACAGTGGTTATTGCTGAGGGTTGCACAACATGATTAATGTAATTAATGCCTCTAAATTGAAAAGTGTAAAAAAAAATTTTAAAGGACTTTCTAGAGATTTCTACTTCTGACATGGTACTGTGATGGAGGAAAAAAGCATTTTTGGTGCAGAGGAAATAGAGTAAATCAAATTCCTAAAACTAGATGCTGTGAAGGACAACAGACACATTTATCAAACATCAGCTAAGGCAGATGAATGCTACAGACTTTAGGCCAAATGCATGTTCTCTAGGGCCTGGAGTTCAGTTGAGGATAAAGAGGCATGGATAAAAAGACAAAATTCCAAAGTATTTTCTCCAGGGCATCAAATTAGTGGGGCAAATAAAAACTGTTTTCTTAACTCACATCATGGAGGAATGCTCAGCTGAAGTTCCACTGGATACACATTTTCATACAGCAAATACTTATGGCTGTGTACACCCAAGGTTAATTACAATTTAGAAGATGCTAAGAAATTTCTTCCCTTTCTTTTCCAGTCAGGAACATATACCGGTATATAAGTGAGTGAGAATGTTATTACAGAGAGAATGAAGAACATGCTCTAAATTATTTTAATTTTTTTAAAAGGTAAATTGTCTGCAAACTTCAGAACCTCCATCACTTGTCAGAAACTGGCTGGTTCTATGTCTCAAATGAAGGCAACAAGAAAACTGTTAAACTCCTCAGCTTAGCCCTTTTGTGAGATGGTGACAGCCCTCATCCCCTGCTCTTGTCTTTCGCCACTTTTGTCCAACATGCACAGTGCTCTTATCTACCTGCAGCTACTCAGGGGTGTTAGTCTTGTTCACATCATCTCTTCCCTCTGATAGCAATGCATTCTTCCACTTCACTCACCTAACTTCTGTTCATCCTTCAAAACTCTCAGTTCAAGGGTCACCTCCTCCCAGAAGCCTTCCCTGATCCACATTACCCACTCACTCTCCCATCTCACTATCTCTCCTAGTATGTGTGATCACAGCACTTACCACAACTGATTTTTTTTTTTTTAGTTCACTAGATAGTTAACTCCTTGGTGGCAGGACTCTACAAGGCACCCCACAGGTTGGTTGCATGAATGGATGACTAATGAACAAACTTGCATCAGCTCTCAGAGCCAGGCTACCTTTCAGGTCAGATTCAAAGAATCAAAGTAACTTGCCCAAGAGTGCACCAGTAAAAAGCCAGGACATGAATGCAGGCCCGTGATCTTCCCCTAATCACACTGTCATCTCCACTGTGTCAGAAAACCCAACTGTGACCACCTATGCTTTATAACAACAACAGCATCCTTGCTCCAAACACTCTTTTCTGGTCAAGGACCTACTTTTGGAAAAGGATACTTTCTCTCCCTGAGCCTGAGAATGCTTTTGTAGCTTGCAATCTGCAGCCCCACTACACAACGGCACCAGGAGCACAGAAAAGCTCTGCTGTTCTCAAGGTGCAGGGACACCCAATATGATTCACAACCCACCGCCTTGCACAGGTACGAAGGGTTCTCCCTCAAATCAGATCCCATGATCAACTTACTTCTTGGAGGCTGAGCAAGAGAGACCTGTTTTAAGCTCTCTCTCCACTTGCAGGGATGTCCTTTAGGCAATCAGATTTAAAAAAAAAAAAAAAAAAAAAAAACTTTTCAGATAACTTCAGGGAATAAAGTTCACCTAAGCCATCATTGTTCTATGTAACACTACCAAGGGGCTTGTCCCTGGCACATTTTGTCCTACTTGTCTCACTGTTTCTCATTTTAATTATAACATTTTTCCTGGTAACCTAATTGCAACAGTCCCAAGAGAAAAAGTTGTTTTTAACAAGATCAGACAGGCACCACTATTGTAATAGTTTTAGAAGATGATATATTCATAGAGATGGATTATTTACTTATGCTATAGTCGAAAGCCCATCTACACACACACAAAATGCAAATACTAGTAAGTGGAATCTAGCACAGGTCTACTTCTTGGGTCCCATTTACACTCTCTGTGAAGCACCAAACAAAGCCTCTGATGAGGTTCAGAGAGCTGGGTCAGCCTCACAATGAGACTCAGGTGTGGAGCCCTCAAGGCTCTAAGAAACTGAAGAGAGTTATGTAATGGCTAAGTAACTGGCCTCTCTCGATCACCCCCCATGCCCCTCTGTGACTCCTCTACAGGAACTGATGTTCCTCTCTACGACCTCTGTGCACACCCCAGGGACTACACAACAGACAAGGGTTTCTAAAACGCCCATCATAGAGCCACAGGTCCTCACAGGCAGGAGCCCTCGATGGCGTGGGGCTTTAAACCCCAGCTCAGGTAAAAACTCGATTCCTGACATCCTGATTGGGAGCCTCAACTCCCAAGGTTCTCACTGTAGTTCTTACCAAGGCAGGCCAACAACCAGTTACCTAACACATGTAAGTCACACCGACTCTGAATTCTAGCTCCCTACCCCTAGGCTGAGATGACAGATGTGCAAATACCTCAAAAGGCTGAAACCACTATGTAAACTGAAGGGCACTGAAAGACCAGAGCCACTCCAAGTTATCTTCAGGCCCTGAGGTATGCACCTGTGCAGGGGCAGGTTTATGCGGGTGTAAGAAGGCTGGAATGCTGGCTCAGCCAGGAATCTATCTGTGGGGCAGCTTCCTCTGGTTTCACTTTTATTCTTCCACTGGAAAGTGTAAAAGCATGGGTCTTCCCCAGCCACAAGCCTCAGGTGCTCAATCTATCCTTACAGCCAACATGAGAGGTAGAAGCAATCACGAGGACTCTGAAATAAACCTTCAGGTGATAATTCACTCAGGTGGTTATTCCTGGCCCAAAGAAAACTGAAGACAACCAATGGAAAAATACACATAAAATAAATTACAACTTTTATCTGTGGACAAGCTATTCTCTGGGTTATTTAAGTTTTGCTTTTTTGAAGCAACAGCCTTGATTACATCATCCTTCCGGGATGCACTTCGGCTGTCTTGCAACCATTCCTAACTTTGACCTAGGGATGACGACACACAGAACAGTTGCTAACTTCGTTTCTCCAATACATAGGCAATTTGATTCACTGAGAAAGAACATTCAACTGTAATCATGTATGATATTTACACAGCAGTGTGTGGTTTACAAGCATTTTCACATATATCATTTTATTTGATCTTCACAACAGCCTGCTGAGGATGGCATAATGGAGCTATTTTCATTTTAGAGGTAAAGGCAGAGACACTCAGAGGTGAAGTGATTTTCCTCAGGTGAAACAAGAAATGAAAGAGCTGAGACTTCTGGCACCAAAGCCCATGTTCTGATAATAATATGCAGGGCTCACTTCACTGTATACATTTTTTATACCTCAATAAAATGTTACTTAAAAAAAGAAAGCATATGGGACCATTCTTCTAAAAATCAGAATTTTTTTAAAAAATATGACTTTAACTTTTAATTCCTTCCCTCCTCAGGTCCTCACCACCATGAGGTTTGTCATATATGGTCACTCTGGGCTTATCAAATGTCTCACCAAACATCTACAAAATTTTATCACCAATAGGCTCACCAAGGTCGATCTTCAGGACTGGTTTGTATTTTAGCAAATCACGGTAATACGCTAACCTTTTCAAGAGTCTTTTTTAAGTCAGTTAATGTTTAGTAGAAGAAAATTATTTGGGGATCAAAATGTTCAAGTTCTATTTCATGCTACTGTAATTTATAAAATCTCTAATAAGCAAGGTCTGAGATATTTTAAACCTATTCCTCTACCTAGATGAAGGTAAAATTTATTAATACTTCTCTTCAACTGGTCACAATGTTACAAACATGAAACTGTACAAGCGGCTATGTGTTTGAATGCTAATTTCCCCTCTAGGTCCTGCATCTTTCTTAACCATCTTCTTTTCTTGCTGGAAAGAAAACCAACTTTTGTGAGATTAAATCTATGAGATTTTGGTAGCAGAATATCGGCCGTAAGTTTGGGAGAAACAAGGAGCACGAAAGCCCATGACAAAAGAATGATGGAGAACACTGAACAGTTAGATCTTCCCAAATCACCCAGTTCTCTTATTCCTATGAATATAACCTTAAATGAGCAGTCATTACTTTGCAGAAATTAAGTTAAAACAAAAAAACAAATGTCAAAGGTTCCCCCAAACCAATTTTACCTCTAATGCCAAGGCAGTCTTGTCGTAAGCACAGGGTACTCTTTTCTGGATTGCTTTCGCAAAGACAGGTCCATTCTGTGTGGATGGCAAAGGGTTGATGGTTGCCCCAGGAGTACTGGAAACGGCAGGTAGAGGAGTTGTGGTCTGAGGTTGAGCGTATGCATGAGCAGGTTCTGGGATCCCATAACTGTTGGAATTCCTGTTTCCGTGCTTTCCGTGTGGGGAGGATCTCACCAACTTTTCGACATAAGGGACAGGGATCATGCCGACCCGGCCATCCTTGTTCCGGGCACTCCACCACTGTTCTTCAGGCTTCTCTATGATCACAAGGATCTCACCCTTTTTAAAGGGCAGGTCTTCAGCATCATTCCCAGGAAAATCATAGAGAGTTCGTACGTATTCCAGATTTTCTTCTGCTGTAGGCAGGTTGGCTGCTGATACAGATCCCATGGGTGGGCTTGGATACCTTAAGAGCAAAAGAAAATTACTTTTAAGAGAAAAATCTTACATCCACTATTTCTCAAACTTGCATTCACATACCTCTCCATCTAGTTTTACAGGAATCTTTTGTTTACACATAGAGATACCCGGTCTGAATTTATTCTTAAAATCTCCAGTTCAGTCCAGTAGCTGCTTTCCTTAGAAACCCATCACAAGACATCATATACTCTTGCTCCCAGCCCTAATCTATGGGCACACACACTGCACACTTCCCCACGGAACTGACAGAAGATGAACACTGGAATCTCCCACTGGCCTTGCATTAAGATTGTGCTAACTAGCCTATGACAAAGGTCTTTGTCCCTGTGTCCTTCAAGATAGGAAAACCAGAAAAGGGCTTATACATTTGCCAAATTAAAAAATAATGATAATAAAACCCATACTGCATAGCTTGTACACAGATCCTCATCTGACCATCAAAATGAAAACATGTGAAAGTTCTCAGATGACACGACACTGCTTTACTGGGTTCACAGAATGCACCCCTAAAGAGTCAGTTATAAAACCATGGCTCCTACTCTCCAACACCATTTGCAATGCCCCTTCTGCAAAAGGAGACAGAAGTCTCTCTTTACCTAAGGAAATGTTCTGAAAAGCTGCATCTATTAAGTTTTCATATTTGCAAGCATATTTACCCAGCTGATTGCAACTCATGGTGAACCCATGTGTGTCAGAGTAGAACCATGCTCCATAGGGTTTTCAACAGCTGTTTTTTCAGAAGCAGATCAACAGGACTTTCTTTTGAGGTGCCTCTAGGTGGACTTGAACCTCCAACCTTTAGCAGCTGAGGACCTTAACTGTTTGCACCACTAGGAATTACCAGCAATTCCACTCCTAGGCTGTTACGGATTGAACTGTGTCCCCCCAAAATGCGTGTCAACTTGGCTAGGCCATGATTCCCAGTAGTGTGTGGTTGTCCTCCATTTTATGATCTGATGTAATTATCCTGAGTTGTAAATCCTAACCTCTATGATGTTAATGAGGCAGGACACAATCTACAGGATTAGGTTGTATCGTGAGTCAATCTCTTTTGAGATATAAGAGAGAGAAACAAGCATCGAGGAAGGAGACCTCATTACTACCAAGCAACAAGAGCCAGAAGCAGAGCACATTCTTTGGCCTCGGGATCCCTGAGCTGAGAAGCTCCTAGACCCAAGGGAAGATTGCTGACAAGGACCTTCCCCCAGAGCTCATAGAGACAGAAAGCATTCCCCTGGAGCTGGCACCCTGAATTCAGACTTCTAGCCTCCTAAACTGTGAAAGAATTAACTTCTGTCTGTTAAAGCCATACACTTGTGGTACTTCTGTTATAGCAGCACTAAATAACCAAGACATAGGTATATACCCAAAAGACTTGAAAGCTGAGTCTCAAACAGATACCTGTACACCAAAGTTCACTGCAGCATTATTCACAACAGCCAAAAGGTGATAACAACCCAAGTGTCCATTAACAAATGAATGGGTAAAAATAACATCTGTTATATACATACAAAAGAGCATTATTCAGTCATAAAGAGAAATGAAGTTGATACATGCTATGACATGGATAAACCTTGAAAACTCAGCATAAGTGAGTGAAGAAAGTTGGATGTAAAAGGACAAATATTATATGATCCCACTTACAAGAAGGATCTAGAATAGGCAAATGCATAGAAACCAAAGTTTTTTTTTACCAGGGGTGGGTGGGAGGGAAGGAAAAATAGAGAAACTGCTTAAGGGGTACTGAGTTTCTGTTAAGAGTGATGAAAAAATCCAGAAACAGATAGTGGTGATGGTTGCACAATCTGGTGAACGTAATTAATGTCACTGAACTGTTCACATGAAAATGGTTAAATTGGCAAATCTTTTGTTTACATATTTCACAACAAAAAAAAAAAAGACATGAACATTTTTGTTTGCGCCTGGGCAGGCAAGCTGGGGGCTGGTCTTCACCCTTCTCCGGAAGAGAGGAAACCTGTGGAGGGGGGAGGGGGGAGAGGGTGCAGTTTTTGGTTTTTTTTTTAATTTTTTTATTGTTGTAGTTTAAATGAAGTTTACATTTCAAGTTAGTCTCCCATACAAAAATTTATACATGCATTGTTATGTGACTCTAATTACTCTCCCCATACTGTGACAGCACACTCCTTTCCACCGATTCCCCATGTCCATTCAACCAGCTCCTAACCCTCTCTGCCTTCCCATCTCACCTCCAGACAGAAGCTGACCATTCAGTCTCTTGTACCTACTTGAGCTAAGAGGCACACTCCTCACGAGTATCACTTTATGTCCTACAGTCCAGTCCAATCCCTCACTGAAGAGTTGGCCTCGGAAACTGTTTTAGTTCTGGGCTGATAGAGAATCCAGGGGCCATGCTTTCTGGGCTGCCTCCACTCTCAGTCAGATCATTAAATCTGGTCTTACTAGAATTTGAGTTCTGCACCCCACCTTTCTCCTGCTCCATCGGGGACTCTATGTTGTGTTCCCTGTCAGGGCGGTCACTGAAGTAGTCGGGCACCATCTAGTTCTTCTGGTTTCAGGCTGATGAAGTCTCTGGTTTATGTGGCCCTTTCTGTCTTCTGGGCTAATACTTCCCTTGTGGTCTTTGGTGTTCTTCAATCTCCTCTACTCCAGGTGGTTGGAACCAATTGATGCATCTTAGATGGCTGCTTGCAAGCTTTTAAGACCCCAGACGCCACTCACCAAAGTAGGATGCAGAACATTTTCTTAATAAGCTTTGTTAAGGACATGAACATTTTTATGGCCCTTGGTACAAACTGCCACACTGCTTTCCAAAAGGCAGTCTTCGTAATACGGCAAAATTTACATATTTTTAAGTGTACGTAACTAGTTTCATAGAAGGCAGAATACCATGGTGATTAGAAGCCTGATTTAAAACTTCAAAGGCTTTATTACTTATTATTAACAATCTTATAACTAAGGGCAAATTACTTAATATCAATACATCTAAAAGCGAGATAGCAGGAATAGCAGGAGCAACAATAGTAATAAGAATGAACAACTCATTATTACCCAATGCCAGGCACTCTGCAATACTTTGCAGACATGAACTCATTTAATCCTCACAACAATACTGTGAGGTAGATGCTATTATCATCCCCCTTTTACAGATGAGGAAACGCTGGTGTGGCGTAGTGGTTAAGAGCTATGGCTGCTAACCAAAAGGTCAGCAGTTCAAATCCACCAGGCGCCCCTTGGAAACTCTATGGGGCAGTTCTACTGTCCTGTAGCATTGCTATGAGTCGGAATCGACTCCATGGCAACAGGGTTGGTTTTTTTGGTTCTTTTTCAGTTTACAGATGAGGAAACCAAGACACGGGTTAGATTTGCACTCAGGCAGTATGGCTCTAGCTAGAGTTCTCACGTATAACCCCCTAAGCTAGTCATGTAATGAACCTATGCTACTAATGAACCTCCCTCCTCTTTTGGTTAAAGGCATTCTCTGCTTCATGTACAAACCAAAGATAAAACATCTTTAAACCTGAGTGTTAATATCTTTTAAGTTAAAAATCTCCTTAATCATGTTACAGAACTGATACAATCAATGTCTGGGGAAAGGAGGGTCCAAAGATGATGTTCTGTTTTTTTAAAGGGGGTACATGGATATTGAAATTTATTTTTATTAGATATATGTGTGTATTATACACATACTCTTTCATATGTATGAAATAAAAAGTTAAACACACACAATCTAAGAAAATCAACTACGTACCCTCTCTACTAAAACTGCTTTAGGTATGGTAACCGTTCTTTACCACCCAGTGGCATTTTATACTGAGGACCTCTCCCTCCCATCCTTAGCATTCACACCATCACTCATGGCTGTCCTCTTATGCCTGTAGCTGCCTCTCCACCACTTCTACAGCTTCTCTTCCTCTGCTCATTCCTGTTTTGCACACTCAATTCAGGATAATTTCATCTAAGCTTAGACTCCACAATTTGTATCTTCAGCTCCCATTTCTCTTATTAATAACAAACTATCAGATTGTTGAACACCACCGGGCTTTCAGCAAGCACCTCAAAAAAGGATTCTTCATGTTGAAAACAATCATCTCCCTCACCGTGATCTTTTCTCTCTTCTATTCTCTCAATTAAACGCACTGCTCAGTCATCCCTGAAGTCATTCCTCTCACCTCACCTTCTTTCTATATGCAATTGATCAGCAAAGGCTGCCAATCTCCATCTTGGTTCAGATTCTCATGGTCCCTCTCCAGTAACAACCCTCTAGACTCCAGACTTTTTCCCAGCCAGTCCCACAACATAGCCAAAGTAGCTTCTAACAAGCAAAACTGATCACGACCACTCTCTTTTTTTAAAACCTTAGATTGAGCCTATTATTCAAACTCATCTACAGGCCCAGGAGGCCCTTTACAATTTAACATTATTTTTCCTTCCTAGCTTATTGCCCATCACAAACAGAAGCCTCTTCTCATTAATCAATTATAACTCTGTCTTTCCCAGCAGGCAATGCCACCAACTCTTTCACCTCATATACTTGTACTTGTACTCATCCTTCAAGAATCAGCTGAACAAAGGTGAGAAATCTCACAGAAAATTCATTACTTTATAGTACAAAAGGATACGTGTGTGTGTGAACTGTAAAGGATGAAATGTGGTTGCTGTGACATTCAGCTGTTTGGCTGCTTCCCAGACTCTATACTTCAGGTTAACACCAACTGCTTAAATAGTTTGCTTCCTCCTGACAAACAGCCCAAGCTCTGGAATAATACTACAATGCTATTTTTCTAAAAATAAATTCATGCTCCAGAACAGGGGGTAAAAAAAATCAGTTGAAAACTGTTGAATTGGTGTAGGTTTTGCTGTGTATATTATTAACAACAACACCACAAATAAAATTAAAAATCAGTTGAAAGAGCACCTTCTCTTTCAAGTCTTTCTGGCCATGCACAGTTGACAACCCTTGCTTTTAAACTCCCATGGCATTCTATTTTAATTTTTTCAATAGAC